CTGCAGATTAGATTAAAAACAGGCCCATTTGGCTATTTTTCTCATTTTAAAAATTTATTTAATGGATGTCAGAGAGGAAGGGAGAGACGGAAACATCCATGATGAGGGAGAATCATGGGTCGGCTGCCTCCTGCTCGCCCCCTACTGGAGATGGAGCCTGCAACCCGGGCATATGCCCTTGACTGGGAATCAGACCGGGTTCAGAGGGCAACGCTCAACCACTGAGCCACACCGGCCGGGCAGAAAAGGAAACATATTTCAGTAAACGCTGCCTTTGTACTTGGGGACATCCTGGAGATGATTATCACAGGTTCCCGAATTCCTCACTAACAGCCTCCATGCATGTATCTTACCATTTAACTAGCAGCGCCCCCACTTACTCTTCGGGCGTGAATAAGGAATCGTCTCAATAAGTCCTGTTTTTCAAAATCACCCTGTTTATGCTTTTGGAAAAAACTCTGTTGGGGAGTTATTTTCCAGAGACACTTTTAGATCCACAACGAACCTCAATTTGTCAGAAAAACCTCCCTCTCTCCACACACGCGTACCGACCAAGGGCGGCCTGACCTGTCGGGGTTCAAGCCCCGTCTCCCAGGGATTTGACATGAATACAAAGCCCGCCTCGCCCGCGACAGGGCCTGAACCCCTTCGGGAGCGGATGCCGTCCGTACTGTCTGTCTGCCTTGTTCAGGCGCCGCCTGTCATTTCTCTGATTAGACAGACACGGTGGCACGCCGATTCCACCGAGGAAAGCTAATAACAAGCTTTAAATACTGACCAGCCCGGCCAGCGGGATCGGGGCTGAGCGTTCACCTGTGACCCAGGAGGTCACGGTTCCATTCCTGTCAGGGCTCAGGCCCGGGGTGTGGCTCCATCCCCAGTGGGGGGCGTGCAGGAGGCAGCCGACCCATGATGATCCTCTCTCATCACTGATGTTTCTCTCTCTCTGCCTCTTCCTCTTCTAAAAATCAATAAAAACATCTTAAAAAGGGGGGCCAATTAGTGCAGGCCTTCCCTGAGAGTGGGACAAGTTCTGCAATTGTAATTCCACGTGACCTCGCCCACGTCTTGCTGAAGCCTTTTCCATGCAAACAAGAGGCTCTGTTTCCAGGGCTGGTGACACCCCTTCCTGGGCCCCACCCTGTCCCTGTCCCCGCTCTGCCCCTGTCCCCGCTCTGTCCCTGTCCCCACTCTGTCCCTGTTCCCGTCCCCTCTCTGTCCCCGTCCCCTCTCTGTCCCCGTCCCCGCTCTGTCCCCGTCCCCGCTCTGTCCCTGTCCCCGCTCTGCCCGTCCCCGCTCTGCCCGTCCCCGCTCTGTCCCCGTCCCCGCTCTGTCCCCGTCCCCGCTCTGCCCGTCACCGCTCTGCCCGTCCCTGCTCTGTCCCTGTCCCCACTCTGTCCCTGTTCCCGTCCCCTCTCTGTCCCCGTCACCGCTCTGCCCCCGTCCCCGCTCTGTCCCCGTCCCCGCTCTGTCCCCGTCCCCGCTCTGTCCCCGTCCCCGCTCTGTCCCTGTCCCCGCTCTGTCCCTGTCCCCGCTCTGTCCCCGTCCCCGCTCTGCCCCCGTCCCTGTCCCCGCTCTGTCCGTCCCCGCTCTGTCCCTGTCCCTGTCCCCGCTCTGTCCCTGTCCCCGCTCTGTCCCTGTCCCTGTCCCCGCTCTGTCCCTGTCCCCGCTCTGTCCCTGTCCCCGCTCTGTCCCTGTCCCCGCTCTGTCCCTGTCCCCGCTCTGTCCCTGTCCCCGTCCCCTCTCTGTCCCCGTCCCCGCTCTGTCCCTGTCCCTGTCCCCGCTCTGTCCCTGTCCCCGCTCTGTCCCTGTCCCTGTCCCCGCTCTGTCCCTGTCCCCGCTCTGTCCCTGTCCCTGTCCCCGCTCTGTCCCTGTCCCTGTCCCCGTCCCCTCTCTGTCCCTGTCCCCGCTCTGCCCCTGTCCCTGTCCCCGCTCTGTCCCTGTCCCCGCTCTGTCCCTGTCCCTGTCCCCGCTCTGTCCCTGTCCCTGTCCCCGTCCCCTCTCTGTCCCCGTCCCCGCTCTGTCCCCGTCCCCGCTCTGCCCGTCCCCGCTCTGTCCCTGTCCCCGCTCTGCCCGTCCCCGCTCTGTCCCCGTCCCCTCTCTGTCCCCGTCCCCTCTCTGTCCCCGTCCCCGCTCTGCCCGTCCCCGCTCTGTCCCCGTCCCCGCTCTGCCCGTCCCCGCTCTGTCCCTGTCCCCGCTCTGTCCGTCCCCGCTCTGTCCGTCCCCGCTCTGTCCCCGCTCTGTCCGTCCCCGCTCTGCCCGTCCCCTCTCTGTCCCTGTCCCCGCTCTGCCCGTCCCCGCTCTGTCCCCGTCCCCGCTCTGCCCCCGTCCCCGCTCTGCCCCCGTCCCCTCTCTGTCCCTGTCCCCGCTCTGTCCCCGTCCCCGCTCTGTCCCCGTCCCCGCTCTGCCCGTCCCCGCTCTGTCCCCGTCCCCTCTCTGTCCCCGTCCCCGCTCTGTCCGTCCCCGCTCTGTCCCCGTCCCCTCTCTGTCCCCGTCCCCGCTCTGCCCGTCCCCGCTCTGTCCCCGTCCCCGCTCTGTCCCCGCTCTGTCCGTCCCCGCTCTGTCCCTGTCCCCGCTCTGTCCCTGTCCCTGTCCCCGCTCTGTCCCTGTCCCTGTCCCCGTCCCCTCTCTGTCCCCGTCCCCGCTCTGTCCCCGTCCCCGCTCTGCCCGTCCCCGCTCTGTCCCTGTCCCCGCTCTGCCCGTCCCCGCTCTGTCCCCGTCCCCTCTCTGTCCCCGTCCCCTCTCTGTCCCCGTCCCCGCTCTGCCCGTCCCCGCTCTGTCCCCGTCCCCGCTCTGCCCGTCCCCGCTCTGTCCCCGTCCCCTCTCTGTCCCCGTCCCCGCTCTGCCCGTCCCCGCTCTGTCCCCGTCCCCGCTCTGCCCGTCCCCTCTCTGTCCCTGTCCCCGCTCTGTCCCCGTCCCCGCTCTGTCCCCGTCCCCGCTCTGTCCGTCCCCGCTCTGCCCGTCCCCTCTCTGTCCCTGTCCCCGCTCTGCCCGTCCCCGCTCTGTCCCCGTCCCCGCTCTGCCCCCGTCCCCGCTCTGCCCCCGTCCCCTCTCTGTCCCCGTCCCCGCTCTGTCCCCGTCCCCGCTCTGTCCCCGTCCCCTCTCTGTCCCTGTCCCCGCTCTGTCCCCGTCCCCGCTCTGTCCCCGTCCCCGCTCTGTCCCCGTCCCCTCTCTGCCCGTCCCCGCTCTGTCCCCGTCCCCGCTCTGTCCCCGTCCCCTCTCTGCCCCCGTCCCCTCTCTGTCCCCGTCCCCGCTCTGCCCGTCCCCGCTCTGCCCCCGTCCCCGCTCTGCCCCCGTCCCCTCTCTGTCCCTGTCCCCGCTCTGTCCCCGTCCCCGCTCTGTCCCCGTCCCCGCTCTGTCCCCGTCCCCTCTCTGTCCCCGTCCCCGCTCTGTCCCCGTCCCCGCTCTGTCCCTGTTCCCGCTCTGCCCGTCCCCTCTCTGTCCGTCCCCGCTCTGTCCCCGTCCCCTCTCTGTCCCCGTCCCCTCTCTGTCCCCGTCCCCGCTCTGTCCCCGTCCCCGCTCTGTCCCTGTTCCCGCTCTGCCCGTCCCCTCTCTGTCCGTCCCCGCTCTGCCCGTCCCCGCTCTGCCCCCGTCCCCGCTCTGTCCCCGTCCCCGCTCTGTCCCTGTCCCCGCTCTGTCCCCGTCCCCGCTCTGTCCCCGTCCCCTCTCTGCCCCCGTCCCCTCTCTGTCCCCGTCCCCGCTCTGCCCGTCCCCGCTCTGCCCCCGTCCCCGCTCTGTCCCCGTCCCCGCTCTGTCCCCGTCCCCTCTCTGTCCCCGTCCCCGCTCTGCCCGTCCCCTCTCTGTCCCTGTCCCCGCTCTGTCCCCGTCCCCGCTCTGTCCGTCACCGCTCTGCCCGTCCCCTCTCTGTCCCTGTCCCCGCTCTGTCCCCGTCCCCGCTCTGTCCCCGTCCCCGCTCTGCCCCTGTCCCCGTTCTGTCCCCGTCCCCGCTCTGCCCCTGTCCCTGTCCCCGCTCTGTCCCTGTCCCTGCTCTGCCCCTGTCCCCGCTCTATCTGTCCCTGTCCCCTCTCTGCCCCTGTCCCCACTCTATCTGCCCCCGTCCCGGCTCTGCCCTGTCCCTGGCCCGCTCTGGCTCCGGTGCTGAGATCTGGAGCCTGGTGCCCAGGGCCTCTGAGAACGCCCTGGGTCTGTGTGACGGTGGCCGTGTCCCGAGCCTCATGTATTCCGGTCACCTCTCCTCAGCGCGGCGAGCTCTGAGCAGGCAGCACGGGATTTTACCGCCGGCTCCGGCACGGCTATCCATCGTGCACAGAAATGACGGCGCGGGGAAATGTTAGCGCGGGGCGGCAGGCGGTAAATTCCCTGGGGTGGATGCGGCTGCCACAGGACGGCGGAAACGGTGACATTGGCTCCCGGAGTCTGCCAGCAGCTGGAGGATTTATGCCGATGCCTGGTGCCGGCGGCCGTGAATCAAGTTTATGGGCTCACTGAGCGGGGGGACGGCTGGACGGCCAGCCCGTGCGCCCGCGTCCCTGAGCCTCCGAGGGCTGGCTGCCTTCGACCGAACGCTGACAGGTAAAGAGCCACCACCTGCTAATGGGCAGTGCTTACACTCTTTCCTTTTTTAAAGTGTGTTTTTATGGGTGTCAGAGAGGACAGGAGAGGGAGAGATAGAAACATCCATGATGAGAGAGAACCATGGACCGACTGCCTTCTGCACGCCCCCCAGTGGGGATTGAGCCCGCAACCTGGGCCTGTGCCCTGACCGGGAATCGAACCCGTGACCTCCTGTGTGTGCAAACATGTACTCCACCGGAGCCCCATGGGCCAGGCAGACTTAACTGTTTCTAAAAACCTTGACAACTACGGGTTTCATCCTCAGAAGAAAGAAGTTACCTGTGAGAGAAACTGTTCAGCGCGCCCTGGCAGTCACGACGTCACCCGCCCAGGCGAGCAGTTCCCGGCCCCGGAGCCGGCGGCCCTGCGCGGGGTTCCTGGGAGGAGACGCACCCGCCCGCCACCGGGGGCGCCACACGTCTCACCTGCAGTGGAACGGATGGTGGCGGTGACGTGAGCTGGCGTCAGCACGGGGAGACACTCGTCGTCCTGGGCATAGCCGGCCTGGATGGCGCGCAGGTAGCTGTGGCTGCGCGTCCGGAAGCAGCCGGGCAGGTCCAGGGCGTCCATGGCCTGCGACTCCGCCTCGCCGAACACCGACTCGCACACCGACTCGAACTGCCCGTTGACCTCTGCCTCGCTCATCTGCAACCGGAAGGCGCGGTTGGTGGTGAGGCCGCCACGCACAGCCGGACCCATGGGCACGAAACCCACCAGCTTCCGGAGAGTCTCCCACCCCCAGCACAGCGAGTGTGACAGCAGCACGGCGAGTGTGACATCAGCATGGTGTGTGTGACACCAGCACGGTGTGTGTGACATCAGCACGGCGAGTGTGACATCAGCACGGCCAGTGTGACATCAGCACGGCGAGTGTGACATCAGCACAGTGGGTGTGACATCAGCACGGTGTGTGTGACATCAGCACGGCCAGTGTGACATCAGCACGGCCAGTGTGACATCAGCAGGGCAAGTGTGACACCAGCACGGCGAGTGTGACATCAGCACGGCGAGTGTGACACCAGCACGGTGTGACATCAGCACGGCGAGTGTGACACCAGCACGGTGTGACATCAGCACGGCCAGTGTGACACCAGCACGGTGTGTGTGACATCAGCACGGCGAGTGTGACACCAGCACGGTGTGACATCAGCACGGTGTGTGTGACATTAGCACGGCCAGTGTGACATCAGCACGGCCAGTGTGACATCAGCATGGTGAGTGTGACACCAGCACGGTGTGTGTGACATCAGCACGGCGAGTGTGACACCAGCACGGTGTGACATCAGCACGGTGTGTGTGACATTAGCACGGCCAGTGTGACATCAGCATGGTGAGTGTGACACCAGCACGGTGTGTGTGACATCAGCACGGCGAGTGTGACACCAGCACGGTGTGACATCAGCACGGTGTGTGTGACATCAGCACGGTGTGTGTGACATCAGCACGGCCAGTGTGACATCAGCACGGCCAGTGTGACATCAGCATGGTGAGTGTGACACCAGCACGGTGAGTGTGACATCAGCACAGCGAGTGTGACACCAGCACGGCGAGTGTGACATCAGCATGGTGTGTGTGACATCAGCACAGTGAGTGTGACATCAGCACGGCCAGTGTGACATCAGCACGGAGAGTGTGACACCAGCACTGTGTGTGTGACATCAGCACAGCGAGTGTGACACCAACACGGTGCATGTGACATCAGAACAGCGAGTGTGACATCAGCACGGCCAGTGTGACATCAGCATGGCGAGTGTGACACCAGCACGGTGTGTGTGACATCAGCAGGGCAAGTGTGACACCAGCACGGCGAGTGTGACACCAACACGGTGCATGTGACATCAGCACAGCGAGTGTGACATCAGCACTGGATCGCTCAGCTCAGGAGAGAGCGTGGTGGGCAATCTCTTTGTTGTTGCTGTCAGTCCTCACCTGAGGGTATTTCTCCATTGGTTTTTAGAGAGAGCAGAAGGGAGGGGGAGACACAGAGCCACATCGAGGTGGGAGAGACATGCTAATTGGCTGCTTTCCACACAAGGCCCGACCAGCACCGGGAAGGAGCCTGCAACCCGGGCATGTGCCCTCGACCAGAATCAAACACGGAGCCCTTCAGTCCGCAGGCCGGCGCTCTGGCCACGGAGCCCAGCCCGAGAGGGTGGGTTACTTCTTACTGAGCCAGAAGGCAAACGCCCGCTCCAAGCTGCCCGTGGTGTCGTCGGGACCCCCAGCCAAGACTTCAGGGGTGGCCGGCAGGTCTGCCTGCGCTCAGAGAGGCTGCGGGGAAGAGCGAGCACAGCACCTCTGGACCTGGGGGTGGAGGGTGTCACCCTGACAGGAAGACTCCGGGACACAGCTACAGGGGGGGCCCCCACCTGGCTCACGCAGCTGGCCTGGCTCAGCATGCTGACCGCCCTCATGTAGCTCTGGTTCCGGGAGCGGAACTTCGGGGAGTTGTAGTTGGCGGCAGGGTCCAGGCTGTGGCCGGCCGGCCCGTCGCTGGCGGCTTGCAGGTAGCTCTGGCTGCAAGGGAAGGAGGAGAGAAAAGGGATCCCATGAACAGCACAGGGGGGGGGGGGGGCCGGGGCGCGATGCAACGGGGCTGAGCCCAGCCCAAACCTCCAGTGGACGGGTGCCTCTGCCTCACGCAAACCCCCACACGGCTCACATGTACAAACATGAATCGCACCCAGCGGGAGGGCGAGGCTAATTGCAAAACAGCTCTGCCTCCTGACATTCTTCGGCCAGGCAGGACATGAGCGTCACCCCCCGGTTTTAAGGAAGAGCCGAGTGGAAGGGAGCCGAGCTGAGGCCAAACACCCGGGAAAGCTCATCAACACCGCACTGGCTCTCGGGGACGTGGCCGACCAGAGGGCGAAGGGACGGAAAAGGCCTGCCTTCAGTCTGCACTTATGCAACGCTGCCCAGACTCTGCGACACGGCGGGAGGAGCAGCAGACCGAGGAACGCCCGGAACACCGTCCTCCCGCCTCCCTTCCTGCTCTTTGCTAAACGTCGGAAGGGTGTGTGGCAATGGGGGGCGCCTGAGTGTCCGCTGAGCTACCCCGCCAGCACGCGGAGCTCCCCCAGGCTCTGCGAACAATCTCCGCACACGAGGACGCTAGGGAAGGCCCGGCACAGCCTGAGGGAACCTGGCTGCCTCTGGCTCCAGTCGGCCGGTTAGCAGGTGCCTTGCTATTCAAGGCAACCGCTTTTTGTTGGTGGCGATCCTCACCCGAGAATGCATTTCCATGGGCTTTTGAAGAGCGTGGGAGGGAGGGAGATCACCGTGGATGTGAGAGAGACGTACCCATTGGCTGCCTCCTGCTCACGCCCAACCAGGGCTGGGATCGAGCCTGCAACCAGGTGCGTGCCCTCGACTGGAACCGAGCCTGCGACCCCTCAGTCCGAGGGCGGGCGCTGGCTGTCCCCACACGGAACTGGCCAGAGCCCGTGGAAGCAGCAAAATTCCCTCTGCTCTCCAGGACATGGCCATGTGTGGGGGCTCCTGTGGATTGTGTGGACCATGCAGATCACAGCCCACTTCGTGTGTATGTTGTGTGCGCGTGCATGTGTTTCTGTGTGCGGGCATGTGTGCACGCATGAGTCTGTGTGCAGTGCGCACAGATGTGTGCATTGTCTCTATGTGTGCATGCGTGTCTCTGTGTGTGCGTGTATCTGTGTGCATGCATGTGTATGTGTGTTCGGTGCAGGGTCAGGGGGCTGTGCTGACCATAGGCCCTTGGCTCCCCTGTTTTTGGAAAACGCAAACTTTCTTTCTCCTGCATGTCCTTGAAGTCGCCACTGCTCAGACCTTGGTGTCTGCGGATTAACACCAAGCCCTCATTTCCTTCCCCTGGAACGGCATGCACGGCTGGCAATGGCGCCACCCATCATGGTAACGGCTCTGGTGACGGGTGCTCCCAGCCCAAGAGGTGCCGGCGCGCCTCCTGGTGGGGCTGCGGTGTGCAGAGTGCCAGGCGCTGTGGCCGGGGACGGCACTCACGGACCACTCGGCAGGATCGGGGGCCTACGTTTAGGGCATCTACTCTCACCCCAATGACTCCCTCATCCCAAATTCCTCTTAAACTAGACGGCAGCTGCGCGGGCACAGGCCAGGGCCTGGCTTCCCTGCGGGCATTTCACCACGTCCTGACCATCTGTCTCCAAGGAACCCTGTCGGGGAGGGCAGTTCACATTTCTTTTATTTATTTAGTTAAAACATATTTGTATTGATTTCAGAGAGGAAGGGAGAGGAACATCCATGATGAGAGAGAGTCACAGATCAGCTGCCTCCTGCACACCCCACACAAGTCCCCCACCTGGGCATGAGTCCACCGTTCCGTTCCCGTGCCCTGGCCGGGAGCTGAACCATGACCTCCGGGTTATAGGGTGACGCTCAGCCACTGAGCCCCGCTGGCCGGGCATGCTAGGGCCGTTCATACCCACCACGATGCCAACAGGGACACTGAGGCACGGCAGCTATGAGCGCCCGCCCTGGTGCACCCAGGCCAAGGCAGAGCCGGACGCAGCGTCCGCTCCAGATTCATGCCTTCAACCTGAGATCAGAGTGCTGGCGGCAGGCAGGGGCCTGGACCTTGAGCCTCAGGCTCGCTGCGCTGAACCGACTGTTTTAACAGCGACTCGGGCTTTCTCCTACGGCGACCAGGGCCGGGCTTCCTGAAACCGTCGCCCACTGGGGGCTGGGAGTCCGACGCCGTGCCCGGTGAGGGCGCCGTCCGCACGCGCAGCCCCGGCGGGACCCGGGCCGCCCTCCCGGGGAGCCCCACGTCGTCTGGAAACTCCCATGAGCCCCTCAGTTACGCCCCAAGCGGTCATTCCCGCTGGAGTGGCCCAGCTGCCAGGGATGAGGTGTTAGTGCCCGTGTGGGCCTGGTGGGAGCTCAGACATGTTACAGGGAGCCACGGGAAGGTTTCTAGAATCATACAGAAACACTTTCCTGCAAATCTCCCCCCTCCCCCCATGATGCCCGTCTTCGAGTCGCTGTGCGGGGAGGCCCGGCTCTGGGAGCCACAGGAGAGACGTGGCTGTGGGAGAGCCACGCTCCCGGAGGGCTCCACTCCCCTCTGCCTGCGCCCACCCGCCCGCTGCCGAGCGGCTCAGCCTCCCGGTGACTCAGCTCCGGGAAAAACAAGCTTACGTAACAGCACGTGCCACCTCTGCACAGCTGCCTCCGCCACACCCACGGCGGGGCCCGGACCAAACGGCCCTCCCCGCCCCCGCCCGGGAAGGGGGTGGAGATTTATGGGGTCGGACGAAGGAGAGACAGAGGGCACCTGCTTTTACACCAAACACGGGATCCCAAACACAGGCATCCTCTATTTTAAAGATTTCTTTTTTCTTTCTTTCTTACAGAGAGGAAGGGAGAGGAGAGAGAGAGATGGAAACAGCCATGATGAGAGAGAATCATGGGTCAGTTGCCTCATGCACGCCTCCTACTGGGGATGGAGCCCACAATCCGAGCATGTGCCCTGACCAGGAATTGAATGGTGACCTCCTGGTTCCTAGGTGGTCGCTCAACCACTCGACCACTGAGCCACACTGGCCGGACCCGGGCCCTGCCCGGGAATGACACTGGGACAGTGCCCAGACCACCGCACCACACCTTAAGGGGCTGTCTGAGTTTAGGAGGGCTGAGTGAGCGGCTGACACAGGACCCCACGGGCACTCGGTGGGCGGAAGCTCCGCCCCCTGCCCGCCAGGCGGATTTCCGGCCCACGGGGTCCTCTCGGGCACCCGTGGCTCCGGCACAGCTGCCCGGCAAGCACTGCCGCCCGAGACCTGGGAGCACGGTGACAGCACTGGTTTCCTGCCGCTGCCGGCATGGGCAGCGGCGAGTGTGACTGGAGAGAAGGCCCCGGTAAACCTCTGGCTCGGCATTTCCGAGGTTAGTTTTTCCATCAGTTTGCGAGTTTTCCAGAAAACTCCGGCCGGGGGGCCAGGCTGAGTGAGCGGTTGTCAGAGGGATCAGAGGGGGAGCCATGTCGCCAGGGCTACAGCCCCATGTCCCCTGGACACGCTGGCCCTGGGGGAGGGGCGGGGACTCCGTCAGCTGAGGCGCCCTGTGCACCCCGAGGTGGCAGATTCGAACCCCGGTCCAGACCGTGTGGGAACCACCGGCCGATACCCCCTGTCTCAACACGTCTTGGGATGAGGATTAAAAAATAAAAACTAAACCCATTTTGTGTGTCAGATGCTCCTGCACATACATGTTCAGTCCATGTCCTCCTCTCCCCCGGCAAAAATGTGTTGCCTAAGTGTGCACTTATGAAATCATAGTAAAAATGTCATATTATGATTCTCTCACACACACACACACACACACACACACTCTCTCTCTCTCATGCACACTCATACAACTCTCTCACACATCTCACATGCTCACACACTCACACATACACACACATACTCACACCTACAGTCATGACACACTCATACACTCCTGCACACTCACACACACTCATACAACTCATACATGTCACATGCTCACACACACACTAACACAGCTTTCACACACTCTCACACACAGTCATGGCACACTTGTACACTCATGCACACTCACACACCATCGGCGCATACTCTCTCACGCACTCATACAACTCGCACACACTTCTCACATGCTCACACACACTCATGCACACGCACACTCACACACTCACACGCACACTCACTCTCTCACACACACACGCACACACTCTCTCACACACACACACACACGCACAGTCACTCTCTCACACACACACACACACACTCTCTCTCACACACACACGCACACACTCACACACACACTCCCCCCCCCCCACGCTTCTGATGACAATAACCGAGCGATCTGAGCGGACGTGGTGGACACGCTGTGTGGCTCCTGCTCTAAGTGAACACCGGGCTGAGAAGCCCCGGTCCGGTCCCTGCGGAAGGACGTGCCTGCGGGTGGCCACCGCCTGGGACGTCCCGGAAGTGGCCCCCGGGGGCCGCGGGGACGGGGAGGGCGCGGAGGTGGGTCTTACGTGGGCAGCCCGCCCAGCGGCCGCGGGGCCAGGGACTTGAGCAGCGGCTCCGGCCGCAGGGCCGCCGTGGGCGACGTCTTGGGGCTGGCGTCGGACTCGCCGCTGTCCTCGTCGCCCATGGCCTTGATGTAGCTGCCGCTGCGCATCCGCCGGCAGGGGATCTCGTCGTCCTTGCCGCCCGGCGGGTAGCCGGCCCACTCGTCCTGAGGCACCTGGGGGAGACAGCGTCAGAGCCACCTGGAGGCCCTGTGTCCATGCCGTCCCTGACCTCAGGGAGGGGGGGAGGGACACCGCTGAGGGCACCCGGGCGTGTGCCCTGACCTCCCGGGCCATGGTGGGCACTCGGCCACGAGCCTCCCCGGCCGCAGCAGGCCCTGCAGGGTCAGCCATTGCTGAACGGGAGGCCCGCAGCCCTGGGGGTGCCCGGGCTGAACCCTGAGAGGACATCACAGGAAGCTACTGCTCTCCCCGTTACAAAGCGCCAGAGGACACGGCGGGAGTGTGAAGACATGTTGGAAAAGCAACTGAGGACGCTCCGCTAACCGAAGTGACCTCCGCGACCCGGAAGTGCCCTCCGCGACCCGGAAGTGCCCTCCGCGACCCGGAAGAACCCTCTGCCACCCGGAAAGTGCCCTCTGCAACCCGGAAGAACCCTCCGCGACCCGGAAGAACCACAGCCTCAGAAGTCACGCATCGGGGAGGAGGAAGCGGAAACAGAGAGGAGGGGTGTCACGTGACACCTGGTGGTAACCACGTGGGAGCCCCTTTCCTGTCCCAGAAGCCCCTGCAGCGGTGGCGTTCACGGAAGGTGACCCCTGACGCTTGGTCGCGGGAAACGGGAAAACCAGAGCCTTTTCTGAGGACGGACGGGCCCGCTTCCCCGCACTGCCCCTCGGCTGCTCGGCCCGCAGGCGGACAGCCCTCCTCCGAGGTCCGCGCGCCGTCTGCCCGGGACACGGGAAGCGCCCTGTGCGCCGCGTGGCGGCCCGGCAGAGCGTCACGCCGAGCGGAGCGAGCCGGCCGGACAGAGACAAGCATCCGTGGCCGCGCTCAGCGTGGATCTCATGGGCAACGGAGCCTGATGACTGAACACAGGCCCGGGGCCCGGCCAGGGTGGCTCAGTGGATAGAGCGCCGCCTGTGGACTGAAAGGTCACGGGTTTGAGCCCGGCCAAGGGCCCAGGCCCAGGTTGTGAGCTCCACCCCCAGTGTGGGCGTGCAGGAGGCAGCCGATCAATGGTTCTCTCTCATCACTGATATTTCTGTCTCTTTCTCCCTCTTCCTCTCTGAAATAAAAAAATATATATATTAAAAAAAAATAAAAGGGAAAAATAGATCCAGAAACATCGGACAGACAGTCAAACCTCAGAGGGAAGGCCCGGAAGGGTGGGCGGGAAGTGGTAAGAGATCAACCGAAGAACTTGAGTGAAGAGAAGCATAGCCCATGGACACAGACCACAGAGGGTGAAGGCTGGGCTGGGGGCCGAGGCGGGCGGGAGAGGTCAGTGGAGAGAAGGGGACGTAGGTAATACTTCCATCAACAAAGAATTACAGAATAAATAAAAACACAAAACAAGGCCTTGCTCAGCTCAGATCTCGCTAGCTTCTCCCTCCCGCCTGGCGACACCTCCCCGCCGGCCGAGCAGGCTCCTGGGCGCCCCCTCCTGGCGGCGGGACGGCGGTGTGCGAGCACCCGGCTTCCCGGCCAGGGGCTCCGGGGAGGCTGCCTGGGGGACGTCTGTGCCCGGCCTCTCAGCGGTGCTGGGCTCAGCTCCCGTGACTCCCCAACAGGACAGGCTGCCGGGGAGACGCACGTGTGACAGGACCTCCAGGTCAGGAGTCGTGTCCCCCCCACCCCACCCCTCCCCCCACACACCACACGCCAGCCGGGACCCCGGAGGACGGGCGGAGGCCACCTGGCTGCATCCCAGGACGAGGCAGCTTCACGCAGACAAGGAGCCCGCATCCCTGCAGATCCCAGGGCTCAGGGGAGCCAGGCCCTCCCCCAGGGCCCCGCAGCGCCCCCTGACCCCGCAGGGCCCAATGACACCGCAGCGCCCCCCGACCCCGCAGCGCCTGCTGACCCCGCAGCGCCACCTGACCCCGCAGCGCCCCCTGAGGGCCCCCTGACCCCGCATTGCCCCCCGACCCCGCAGCGCCCCCCGACCCCGCAGCGCCCCCCGCCCCCGCAGCGCCCGCCGCCCCCACAGCGCCCGCCGACCCCGCATTGCCCCCCGACCCCGCAGCGCCCCCCGACCCCGCAGTGCCCCCTGACCCCGGATGGCCCCCCTGACCCCGCAGGGCCCCCCCGTCCCCGCAGCGCCCTCCGACCCCGCAGGGCCCCCCGGCCCCGCAGCGCCCCCCGACCCCGCAGCGCCCCCCGGCCCCGCAGCGCCCCCCGACCCCGCAGCGCCCCCCGACCCCGCAGCGCCCCCCCGGCCCCGCAGCGCCCCCCGACCCCGCAGGGCCCCCCGGCCCCGCAGCGCTCAATGACCCCGCAGCGCCCCCCGACCCCGCAGGGCCCCCCGGCCCCGCAGCGCCCCCCGACCCCGCAGGGCCCCCCGACCCCGCAGCGCCCAATGACCCCGCAGCGCCCCCCGACCCCGCAGTGCCCCCCGACCCCGCAGCGCTCAATGACCCCGCAGCGCCCCCCGACCCCGCAGGGCCCCCCGGCCCCGCAGCGCCCCCCGGCCCCGCAGCGCCCCCCGGCCCCGCAGCGCCCCCCGGCCCCCGCAGCGCCCCCTCACCCGCAGCGCCCCCCGGCCCCGCAGCGCCCGCCGACCCCGCAGCGCCCCCCGACCCCGCAGGGCCCCCCTGACCCCGCAGCGCCCCCCGACCCCGCAGCGGCCCCCCGACCCCGCAGGGCCCCCCTGACCCCGCAGCGCCCCCCGACCCCGCAGCGGCCCCCCGACCCCGCAGCGCCCCCCGACCCCGCAGGGCCCCCCGACCCCGCAGCGCCCCCGACCCCGCAGCGCTCCCCGACCCCGCAGCGCCTTCCAATCTGCAGTGATGTCGCTGGAGGAAGAGCCCTCAGCCCCGCGCTCGGTGCAGACCGGCACAGCACTGAGTGGCCTGAGTGGCCCTGTCCTGCGGGTCCTGGCCGCCCTGCTTGGTTCTGGTGCTGCGTGATGTAGGCACGGGGCTGCCCCTTTATAGGACCGGTGCTGGCCATAAGGAAAGCGTGCGGAGGGGCTGGTGCAGGCCGGGGAGGGGGTGTTCGAGAAGGAGGGGGCAGACAGCTTCAGCGGGAGGGAGACTGGGGGGGTCTGGGCGGGGCAGCAAGGTTGGTGGCACGGCCCCCACGGCAGCACCCCCTCAGGTGTTGGGGTCACTGTCTGGGGGACTCGCGTGGCGGATAGGACGAGAGCTCCCCGCTCTGACGAGGACCGTGGAGAGGCCGGCGAGCCGTGAGCACGGATGTCTGCCTGCCATGGGGCCCGCCAGCACACGCAGCGCGTCCGTGTCCCACGTGGCTAAGCAGTGAGGCCCCAGCCACCGCCCACCCTCCTGGGACACCCCTTCCTGACACGCCACGTGGTCGGCCTCTCCTCGGAACAGAACCACCGGGTCTGGACCGCGGACCGGGACAGCGGACGGAGCTGCTAGGATGACTGCGGCTCCTGACCCCGGGTGGCTCCGTGGTGCTCTGCCCCAGGCTGACGCCCGGGACTCGGGGCCCTGGTGCTGGGCCTCCTGCTTCTGGGCGGGTCCTTCTCACCGACCCACAGGCTGCAGCCCCTGGGGTCTGGCTGCATGCATGTGAGTGCCTGCGTGTGTGCATGTATGTGCATGTGTGTGCTTGTGCACGCATGTGTGCGCACGTGTGCACACGACTGTGAACAGACACACGGCGTTAACATCGCCAGCCCCCCCATGCTGCCGGGGCCCTGCCCGGATGGAAGTGCTCACGTGGCACGCCGGCTGCCTCCCCCGCAGACCGCCAGCCTGCGCCCGGGGCGGGCGGTGTGCCGGAAGCCGGCGAGCACACGGCCCGCGCACCGGCCGCCTTACCTGGAGGTAGTGGCAGGGCCGCAGGGCCGGCTTGGGCTCCGGGGGCGCCAGCGGCTTGTCGAGGTGCAGCGAGCTCTTGCGGTAGGCCTCCTGGGCCTGGCTCACGGTGAGCGTGGACCAGGAGCTGCGCTTCATGTACTTGGGGTCGGGCGTCAGGGCGGCGCCCTCGCAGGCCGAGCACTTGACGTCGCTGTTGCTCTTGGCGGTCCTGAGGGAGAGGTCGCCGAAGGGGCCGGGCAGCGGCTCGGCGTAGCAGCGGGCCACGCGCTCGGCCACGCGCTCCGCCAGGTGCCGGTGGGCGGCGCTGCCGGGCCCGCGGTAGGTGCTGTCGCTGTCCAGGTTGTCGTCCGAGCTCCACCAGCTGCTCAGGCCCGCGCGGTGGTGCTTGCCGTCCGGCCGGCGCTCCTTGCTCTTGCTGCGCTTGCCGTGCTTGGCGTGGTGGCCGTGGCCGTGGTCCTCGGCCCGGCCGTCCGCCTTGGCCCCGTTGGCGCCGCCCTTGGAGGAGCCCTCCAGCGAGTGGGACTTGGTGAAGAGCTTCTGCACCGAGTGCACCAGGTGCCGGATGCGGCCGGGGCTCTCGCCGCGCGGCTCGGCGCCCGCGGCCGGCGCCCGCTGGTACTGCAGCGTGTGGAAGCCGTCCCGGTGCAGCGGCAGCTGCTTCTCGAACTGGTCCAGCAGGTTGGCCGGCAGGCGGTTGGCCTTGGTGGCGCCGGCGGCGTGCGGCCCGGCGCAGTCCTCGTAGTGCGAGCTGTAGTGCATGCGGGGGAAGGTGCTGCTGGACACGTGGTCGCCCAGCACCACGGGCACCATCACGCACTCCGAGTGCACCGAGCTGCGCGGCGAGCAGCGCCGGGGGTCCAGCGGGCAGCCGGCCGGCGGGCTCAGCAGGTAGGGCTGGTGCGGGCCGGCGCCCAGGCGCAGGAGCTCGCAGTCCTCGGGGGGCGCCAGGCCGCAGGTGTGGGCGGAGCACAGCGGCGCCGGGGCCCGGCCCCCCGACGGCCCCTTCATGCTCCTGGGGGCCGGGGAGTGCCGCTCCTCATCGAAGGCCTGCGTGGGCGGCCACGGGAACGCCTGGTCTGCGGAGAGAGCACGGGCGCCGTGAGACCGGGCAGAGGCCACGCCGCCCGCGGGTACGAGTGGGGAGTGCGGGCCACGGACACCCCCATGGGGCCAACATGGGGTCCCTGGCGATCGGGCGTCGACCGCTCCTAAATGTGAGAATCTCAAGAGCAGACCGCCATTCCCTAATGGGGTGCCCCAGGGACAGACAGCCGGGGTCCCCCAGGTTCCCCTGGGCCCTGGGGAGTGAGCCTGTGTGAGGGAAGCAAGTCAACCGCCTGAGGGGGGCACGGGTGACAGCCCGCAGACCTGCGCATCGGGGCACACAGCAGATGGCACGCACGTAGCATACGACACAGGAAGTGATACGCTATCTTACACCCCTGCCATGCACACGTAGCGTGTCTGTAACGGAACATGCCCCTGCAGTCCGTGTACATCTGTACGCCTCTGCAACGCACACACGTTACGTGACATGCACACGGCGGGACGCCCGCAGGGAACATGGGCCTGAGACGCTGTGAAAAGGGGAGGGAAGACCAGCGCCCGGGTGCCCAGGAGGACCCCAGGACGGAGCTGTTTCCTCGGCGACGTGGAGGCCAGCAGCTCCCCGGACCAGGCCTGGTCATGGCAGACGTCCGGTGTGGGCACCGCGGTCTCTCCGGGCTGGTTGGTGAGCACTCAGCACTGGGCCGGGCCGGCCGGGCTGGCGGGGGTCAGACCGGGTCACCCACACGGTGCCCCTGCCGGCCCCGAGGCGGGGGCTGCTGGGAGCAGAGCGGATGCTGGGCTGTCCGCCCTCGAAGCAGCATCTGTGCGCACGCTCCCGCCTCCCGCCGGGAGGGAGCGGCCTCACCGCGCCTGCTGAGCTTTAGTCTCCTCTGCTTGTTTCCTGTCGGAGCCCCGCCGCCAACGCACAGCCCTGGCCGAGGGCGCCCCACAGGCCCGGGCTCCCCCGCGTCGGAGGCCGTGCTGCGGCCACGGAGGCCTCACAGCCTGCTCCCCCCCCCCCAGCCTGGAGGGCCGGGCTCCTGCCCCTGGGCACTACCCTCCTGCACGGGGACACGCAGGCTGCTCTCCCACGTCAGGGCGGCCGGCGGACTCTGAGTGGGTGAGGGTGCCTTTCTCCCCACAGGCCCTGGTAAGGGGGGGGGGCATCCAAACAGCGATGGCTGTGCCTGCCCTCTGACCCCTCGCTCTGCCCTCTGCCCTCCCTGCAGGCCCCCCCTCTGCCCTCTGTCCCCCTCCCTGCAGGCCCCTCCCTCTGTCCCCCTCCCTGCAGGCCCCTCCCTCTGCCCTCTGTCCCCCTCCCTGCAGGCCCCCCCTCTGCCCTCTGTCCCCCTCCCTGCAAGCCCCTCCCTCTGTCCCCCTCCCTGCAGGCCCCTCACTCTGCCCTCTGTCCCCCTCCCTGCAGGCCCCCCCCCTCTGCCCTCTGTCCCCCTCCCTGCAGGCCCCTCGCTCTGCCCTCTGTACCCCTCCCTGCAGGCCCCCTCGCTCTGCCCTCTGTCCCCCTCCCTGCAGGCCCCTCACTCTGCCCTCTGTCCCCCTCCCTGCAGGCCCCTCGCTCTGCCCTCTGTCCCCCTCCCTGCAGGCCCCCCCTCTGCCCTCTGTCCCCCTCCCTGCAGGCCCCCCCCCTCTGCCCTCTGTCCCCCTCCCTGCAGGCCCCTCGCTCTGCCCTCTGTCCCCCTCCCTGCAGGCCCCTCGCTCTGCCCTCTGTCCCTGCAGGCCCCTCGCTCTGCCCTCTGTCCCCCTCCCTGCAGCCCCCCCCCTCTGCCCTCTGTCCCCCTCCCTGCAGGCCCCTCGCTCTGCCCTCTGTGCCCCTCCCTGCAGGCCCCTCGCTCTGCCCTCTGTCCCCCTCCCTGCAGGCCCCCCCTCTGCCCTCTGTCCCCCTCCCTGCAGGCCCCTCGCTCTGCCCTCTGCCCTCCCTGCAGGCCCCTCGCTCTGCCCTCTGTCCCTCTCCCTGCAGGCCCCTTGCTCTGCCCATACTCGCTAGCAGCTCTTTTGCTTTCTGCCACGGACCCCACATGCACACACACTCTGATGGGAAAGCTGAGCACGGAGCTGAGGAGGAGGCTGTGAGCAGGGGAGCCGGGCGGGCCCCGTGCTCAGCTCCTCAGCCTGTCCCTCCATTCCTGGGGGCGCGTGCAGGGGCACATCTCCACTTACTCGCCATGTGGCTTATTTATGGCTGAGTAAACAGTGTAAAGACCCATGGCCTCGGCACCCGGCAGATCGCCGTGGGTCCTCACCCCGAGTCCGTCCCCGAGAGGCCAGGGGAGCACCTGTTTCCTGCAGGAAACACTGGCCACTCGGGACGCGACCCCAGCGTCTTCCCCCACCTCCTCCTGACGCCGTGGACGCACCCCGAGGCTCCAGCGTACGCACGCGCACACACACACACACACACGCACGCACGCACCCCGCCCTTCCAGGGCTGCTCTGTGTGTGCTGCCAGAGCAAGCACTGCAAGCTTATTGTTCATCATTTTTAAATATATTTGTATTGATGTCAGCGAGAAGGGAGAGACAGAAACATCAGTGATGAGGGAGAAGCATCGACTGGCTGCCTCCTGCTCGCCCCACCCTGGGGATCGAGCCCCCAATCCGGGCCTGTGCCCTTGGCAGGAATCAAACCCAGGACCCTTCAGTTCACAGGCCCTCGCTCCATCTGCTGAGCCACACCAGCTAGGGCAGCGTTTTGTTTTTTTTTAAGGTTTTTTTTCATTAATTTTTAGAGAGAGAGAGGAAGGGAAAGGGAGAGGGAGGGAGAGAGGGAGAGGGGGAGAGAGAGAGACATTGATTGGCTGCCTCCTGCACATCCCCCACCTGGGATGGAGCCTCACACCTGGGCACGTGCCCTGCCTGACCGGGGAACGGAACGGCACCTTCCGGGGACGGGACCGGCCGGGCCCTGGACGTTGTTTCCGATGACCATCTTACACGCCTGCTGTGACAGCAGCGTGCAATCTGCCAGAAATGTCCGCGGCCGACCCCGGCACAGACCTCACCCCACGGGACCGTCACACCTGCCACCGGGGAGCTGTGCGCAGCGGCAGTGCGTCCGGCCCTGCCCCCAGCCCCCGCCTCTGCCGGCCCAGGAGCTGAGGCCGCCAGCCCAGCCCTCCAGGGCGCCGTCCGGCCCCGCCACGTCTCCCTCCGCTGAGGGTACTTCTGCTGTGGTCAACACATTCTTGTTTGCTTTTCTATTTAAGAAGAGAAGAAAACAAGAAGGCTTGTTTTGAAATGCTGCACTTGGGGGTTTATTCCACAAGCAAAGCTAACCCCGAGACAGGAAGTCACCGTCGCGGGCGGGGCTGTGGAGCGGGCGTTCTCACTCCGGAAACCTGGGCAGTCACAGAACGCAGCCGCGTTACCCCGGCGACGGGGCCAGGCACGGCGACGGCCGGGAGGGGCCTGCGGGCCAGAGCCATCTCTCCCGTGGACGTCCGTCCAGAAACGTGAGCAGACGGGGCCCCGCCGCGCGGAGCGGACCACGGGGCCCAGGGCTGATTCCACAGCGGAGACTCAGCCACGCCCTCCCCGGGGCGACGGGCCGGGAAGAGTCCCGGGAGCAGATGCAGAGACAGCCTCTGACCCATCAGGATAAAAGCGCTGGGCAGGCGGGGGTGCGGCTCAGCAGGTGAGCATCGACCTATGAACAGGAGGTCAGGGTTTGATTCCTGGTCCCCAGGAGGGGGCGTGCAGGAGGCCGCCGATCCATGATCCTCTCCCATCATTGATGCTTCCATCTCTCTCTCCCTCTCCCTGCCTCTCTAAAACCAATAAAGGTATTTAAATACATAGGTAAATAACAAAAAGAGCTATTTCCTTTCCCTTAAAAATAAAATAATAACATTAAGGGAGCTCTTTTACAATAAGTGGGTATGGTAGTCGCTACGAGATGCACACGCAGCCAGGTGTGGCAGCCCTGACAGGATTCGGGGCGTCCTGCCTCTGAGCCCTCTCCCCACCTGCCCTCTTCCCCCCTAGGGGCTCCCAGGCCAGCGGGCAGCATGGGACAGGAGCGTGCTCTCAGGCACACACCGCCCCCTCCTGCCGTGGGCCGGCCGGAGAGCAGGGGCCTCCCGTCTCTGACCGCCCGTTTCCAGCGCCTGTTCCTCGTCTCCGTGTGCACTGCGCCCCTGCCCGTCTGGCCGCCAGGCCATCCTCCGGAGGCTCAGGAGTGGCTGGCGGCAGCCGGAGCTCGGGCGTCTTTCTCAGAAATAACGGCTGTCATGGGCCGGGGCCGCCCCCAATCACCGCCGAGCCTTTTAACTCCAGGGCGTGCGAGTGCTCCCGGACACCCCTCTTCAGAGCCAGGCCTCCCTCTTCCATCGCCGTCGTTTCAACCGTTAGTCCGCGCTGCTCACAGGCGGCGGGCTAACTGAACAGAAGCCCCTTTATCCTCCCGGACTCCACGGCCGTCGCCTCGTAAAATTACTCTCCGACGCCTCATTATCGGAGCCTCAGAGGCCGCACAGCCCTTCAGCGGAGCGGTGCCGGGCGGGCCTGGCTGGGAGACTCTTACTTTCTTTTGAGAGATTAATCCGTTTTTAATATATTTTCTATTGATGTCACAGAGAGCGAGGGAAAGGGAGAGGAAGAAAGAGACAGAAATATCCATGCTGAGAGAGAATCACTGATGGGCTGCCTCCCGCACGCCCCACCCTGGGGATGGAGCCCGCATCCCGGGCCTGTGCCCTGACCGGGAATCCAACCCTGACCTTAGGCCAAGGTGGACGCTCAGCCACGGAGCCACGCCGGCCGGACTTACTAATGGGAGCAACGAGCCGGCCGGCCCGTCTCCCCGTGAGGAGCTCCTGGCACAGACCGGGAGGCGGGACTCCTCCCCTGCTCCTGTGTCCTCCTCCCGAACGCTCCTGTGTCTGATTTCCTTCAGAGAGACCACGGCTTTGCACAGCGGACTCCTCCCACGCTCAGTGTCACTCTGTAAGCCACGCAGTGGGCCACGGAGCCAGGGCTGCCAGCCTGGAGTGAGTTCAGGAAATCCAAACTTCCATACAGACTGCGTGGGAGGCGCGGGGCAGGGTGAGGTGCCATGGGGCCCGGGCCCGGTGCTGGGACCCGCTCAGGTGAGCAAACCACCCGTCCGGTCTCTTCTCCCCACCGAGGCCAAGGCTGTGCTACACCCCATCTGCCCGGAGAGCCGCCCCTTGGCCGGCGCGAGCAACGCGGGGGCTGAGCGTCCACCTAGGAACCAGGAGGTCACGGTTCGGTTCCGGTCCGGGCACAGGCCCGGGCTGCAGGCTCCATCCCCAGTGTGGGGCGTGCAGGAGGCAGCCCATCCACGATTCTCTCTCACCACTGATGTGCCTGTCTCCCTCTCGGAAATCAATAAAAACACATTTTTAGAAAAAGAGCTGCCCCTTTCCCCGTAAACACGAGTCCGTGTCAGTGACGGCCTTCCCCGTCAGGCGGCTCAGAACCAGGAGGCCCCGTGGCTCTCACCACGGGCGGGAACCAGGCTCGGCCGCCACGCCCAGCGCCGCGGGGGAGAGGAACGGGCCCCGAGGTCGGGTGAAGGGCCTCTGGGAAGAAGGCCGAGGAGGGGACGTCTGGAGATTTCCCCGGGGGCGGGCTAGTCTCGTGGAGACAGGAGCGCGGTGTGGCCCAGGTGGGCCTCAGGTGCTGAGAAACAGCTGGTCATCCTTGTCACCTGCCTTAATAGTTAGCTGCTGTGACCCGGGGTGGGGTGGGGGGGGTGGGACCGAGACCCGGGGGGGGCTGTGACCCCGGGGGGGGGGGGGCTGTGACCCGGGGGGCTGTGACCCCAGGAACTGTGACCCCCGGGAGGGGGCTGTGACCCGGGGGGGCTGTGACCCGGGGGGGGGGGCTGTGACCCGGGGGCTGTGACCTGGGGGGGGCTGTGACCCGGGGCTGTGACCCGGGGGGAGCTGTGACCCCGGGGGCTGTGACCCGGGGGGGAGCTGTGACCCAGGGGGGGGCTGTGACCCGGGGGGGGGGCTGCTGACCCCGGGGCTGTGACCTGGGGGGGGCTGTGACCCGGGGGCTGTGACCCGGGGGGGGGCTGTGACCCGGGGGCTGTGACCCGGGGGGGGGGCTGTGAACCCGGGGGGGGGCTGTGACCCGGGGGGGCTGTGATCCGGGGGGGGGGCTGTGACCCGGGGGGGGGGGCTGTGACCCGGGGGGGGGGCTGTGACCCGGGGGGGCGGGGCTGTTGACCCGGGGGGGGGTGTGACCCGGGGGGGGCTTGTGACCAGGGGGGGGGGGCTGTGACACGGGGGCTGCTGTACCTGGGTGGGGGCTGTGAACCGGGGGCTTGTGATGACCGGGGGGGGACTGTGACCCGGGGGGGGCTGTGACCGGGGGGGGGCTGTGACCCCAGGGAACGGCTGAACACCACGGGGGGGGCGGTGACCCGGGGGGGGGCTGTGACCCAGGGGGGCCTGTGACCCCAGGGGAAACTGTGACCCCCAAGGGGGGCTGTGTTGACCCAGGGGGGGGGCTGTGACCCGGGGGGAGGGCTGTGACCCCGGGGGGGGCTGTGAACCGCGGGGGGGGGCTGTTGACCCGGGGGGGGGCTGTTGACCCGGGGGTGGGCTGTGATCCGGGGGTGGCTGTGTCGGGGGGGGGCTGTGACCCGGGGGGGCTGTGACCCGGGGGGGCTGTGACCCGGGGGGGCTGTGACCCGGGGGGGGCTGGTGACCCGGCGGGGGGGCTGTGACCCGGGGGGGGGCTGTGACCCTGGGGGGGGCTGTGACCCGGGGGGGGGCTGTGACCCGGGGGGGGGCTGTGACCCGGGGGGGGCTTGTGACCCGGGGGGGGGGCTGTGACCCGGGGGGGGGGCTGTGACCCGGGGGGGGCTGTGACACCCGGGGGGGGCTGTGAACCCGGGGGGGGGGGCTGTGACCCGGGGGGGGCTGTGACCCGGGGGGGGCTGTGACCCGGGGGGGGCTGTGACCCGGGGGGGGGCTGTAACCCGGGGGGGCTGTGACCCGGGGGGGGCTGTGACCCGGGGGGGGCTGTGACCCGGGGGGGGGCTGTGACCCGGGGGGGGGCTGTAACCAGGGCGCTGTGCTCCCACCTAACGTGGCCATGAAGTCGAGCTCATTCACGGTCACTACTCCTCCTCAGGACGCTCAGCCACACACGCGTGGACGTGTTAGTGGGAGGTTCGTGGTGATGGGCGTGGGACGGGCCCCAGTGGGGGTGGTGACCGTGTGCGTGGCCGGGCGGCGGCACCTACCTAGGTCGTCCTCCTCCGGCCCCGGAAAGCTGATGCCCGGCTGGACCAGGTCCCCGGCCTCCTCCTCTGCAGAGAGAGAGACAGTCAGGTGAGCGCGTCCCTGCGGCCGAGTACACACAGCACACCGCCGCCCCGACCCCGCCCCGCACACCGCCCCGACCCCCGCCCCGCACACCGCCCCGACCCCACCGCCCTGACTCACCACCCGCACCTGCCAGACTGGCCGCCCCGCCCCCCGCCCCGCACACCGCCCTGACTCACCGCCCCGACTCACCGCCCGCACCTGCCAGACTGGCCGCCCCGACCCCACCGCCCCGCCCCCCGCCCCGCACACCGCCCCGCACACCGCCCTGACTCACCGCCCGCACCTGCCAGACTGGCCGCCCCGACCCCCGCCCCGCACGCAGCCCTGACTCACCGCCCTGACTCACCGCCCTGCACACCGCCCCGACCCCACCGCCCCGCACACCGCCCCGACCCCGCCCCGCACACCGCCCCGACCCCGCCCCGCACACCGCCCCGCACACCGCCCCGACCCCACCGCCCCGCACACCGCCCCGACCCCCGCCCCGCACACCGCCCCGCACACCGCCCTGACTCACCGCCCGCACCTGCCAGACTGGCCGCCCCGACCCCCGCCCCGCACGCAGCCCTGACTCACCGCCCCGACCCCGCCCCGCACACCGCCCCGCACACCGCCCCGACCCACACCGCCCCGCACACCGCCCCGCCCCCACCGCCCCGCACACTGCCCTGACTCACCGCCCTGACTCACCGCCCCGCCCCCCACCGCCCCGCACACTGCCCTGACTCACCGCCCTGACTCACCGCCCGCACCTGCCAGACTGGCCGCCCCGACCCCCGCCCCCCACGCCGCCCCGCACACCGCCCTGACTCACCGCCCGCACCTGCCAGACTGGCCGCCCCGACCCCCGCCCCGCACACCGCCCTGACTCACCGCCCGCACCTGCCAGACTGGCCGCCCTGCCCCCCGCCCCGCACGCCGCCCCGCACGCTGCCCCGCACACCGCCCTGACTCACCGCCCCGCACCTGCCAGACTGGCCGCCCTGACCCCCACCCCGCCCCCCGCCCCGCACACCGCCCCGCACACCGCCCCGCACCTGCCAGACTGGCCGCCCCGCCCCCCCGCCCCGCACACCGCCCCGCACACCGCCCCGACCCCCGCCCCGCACGCCGCCCCGCACCTGCCAGACTGGCCGCCCCGCCCCCGCCCCGCCCCCCGCCCCGACTCTGGAGGCACGAGCGTGCTGCTCTCGGTCCCGGCTGGGAGCCGCCCATGCTCACCGCCAGGTGCCAACGCTGCAGTGGCCAGGGCCTTCTCACCGGGGCCTCTGGTCAGCACCCGGGTCTCACATCGTCCCCATCACAACAGAGGCCACAAACCCCCACCCCCACCCTGCTCCCCGCCCCCCACTCCTGCTTCCCGCCCCTGGGAGGGGGAGGTCCCGGAGCCTGCAGGCCGCGGCCAGGCCCGTGCTGTGTGGGAAGCCGTACCATCGGGCCCTCCCCCCAAACATCCAGCGCTGCCGCCCAGTGTTTGGCTTCATGTCGCTCAACCCTCCTGCCCGGAGCACCCAGGTCTCCGCCAGGCCGGCAACCTCGGCCTGACTTCGGGCCCACGTGGCTGGGCAGGGCCAGGCCGGGCACCAACACCCCGGATCCCACATGAGACCAGCAGGCCTCGCCAATACATCATACATGTAACACACGTGTCATGTTTTCGGCACATGTTCCATAGATCGGTTTCCATGTTCCAACTGCAGGCGTGTATTCACGCAGACTGCCCACCTCCGGGCATGGGCAGAGGCTGACGTTCTCCCGAACACGCGAGAACACCGGAGCCGCAGCCGGAGCCGCAGCCGGAGCCGCAGCCGGAGCCGCAGCCGGAGAAGCGGCCGGAGCCGCAGCCGGAGCCACAGCCGGAGCCACAGCCGGAGCCGCAGCCGGAGCCGCAGCCGGAGCCGCAGCCGGGGCCGGAGCCGCAGCCGGAGCCGCAGCCGGAGCCGCAGCCGGAGCCGTAGCCGGAGAAGCAGCCGGAGCCGCAGCCGGAGCCGCAGCCGGAGCCGCAGCCGGAGAAGCAGCCGGAGCCGCAGCTGGAGCCGCAGCCGGAGAAGCGGCCGGAGCCGCAGCCGGAGCCGCAGCCGGAGCCACAGCCGGAGCCGCAGCCGGAGCCGCAGCCGGAGCCGCAGCCGGGGCCGCAGCCGGAGAAGCAGCCGGAGAAGCAGCCGGAGCCACAGCGGAGAAGCAGCCGGAGCCGCAGCCGGAGCCGCAGCCGGAGAAGCAGCCGGAGCCGCAGCCGGAGAAGCGGCCAGAGCCGCAGCCGCAGCCGGAGCCGCAGCCGGAGCCACAGCCGGAGCCACAGCCGGAGAAGCAGCCGGAGCCGCAGCCGGAGAAGCGGCCGGAGCCGCAGCCGGAGAAGCAGCCGGAGCCGCAGCCGGAGCCGCAGCCGGAGAAGCGGCCGGAGCCGCAGCCGGAGCCGCAGCCGGAGCCACAGCCGGAGCCGCAGCCGGAGCCGCAGCCGGAGCCGCAGCCGGGGCCGCAGCCGGAGAAGCAGCCGGAGAAGCAGCCGGAGCCACAGCCGGAGAAGCAGCCGGAGCCGCAGCCGGAGCCGCAGCCGGAGAAGCAGCCGGAGCCGCAGCCGGAGAAGCGGCCAGAGCCGCAGCCGCAGCCGGAGCCGCAGCCGGAGCCAACAGCCGAGCCACAGCCGGAGAAGCACAGCCGGAGCCGCAGCCGGAGAAGCGGCCGGAAGCCGCAGCCGGAGCCGCAGCCGGAGCCGCAGCCGGAGCCACAGCCGGAGCCGCAGCCGGAGAAGCGGCCGGAGCCACAGCCGGAGCCGCAGCCGGAGCCGCAGCCGGAGCCGCAGCCGGAGCCGCAGCCGGAGAAGCGGCCGGAGCCACAGCCGGAGCCACAGCCGGAGCCACAGCCGGAGAAGCGGCCGGAGCCACAGCCCGCAGCCGCAGCCGGAGCCGCAGCCGGAGAAGCGGCCGGAGCCGCAGCCGGAGCCGCAGCCGGAGCCGCAGCCGGAGCCGCAGCCGGAGAAGCGGCCGGAGCCACAGCCGGAGCCGCAGCCGGAGCCGCAGCCGGAGCCGCAGCCGGAGCCACAGCCGGAGCCGCAGCCGGAGCCGCAGCCGGAGCCACAGCCGGGGCCGGAGCCGCAGCCGGAGCTGCAGCCGGAGCCGCAGCCGGAGAAGCGGCCGGAGCCACAGCCGGAGCCGCAGCCGGAGCCGCAGCCGGAGCTGCAGCCGGAGCCACAGCCAGAGCCGCAGCCGGAGCCGCAGCCGGAGCCACAGCCGGGGCCGGAGCCGCAGCCGGAGCCACAGCCGGAGAAGCGGCCGGAGCCACAGCCGGAGCCGCAGCCGGAGCCGCAGCCGGAGCCGCAGCCGGAGCCGCAGCCGGAGCCACAGCCGGAGAAGCGGCCAGAGCCGCAGCCGGAGCCGCAGCCGGAGCCGCAGCCGGAGCCGCAGCCGGAGCCACAGCCAGCCGCTCCCGCACGGGGCACCAGACCTGCCGCCCCCGCCAGTCGGCGAGGGGACAGAGAGGCCCCGGCCACGCCCCGCACTCTGTCCAATCCCCCGCCTGGGCCTCCTGGCACTCCCGGCTCTAAAAACACGCACACCTGCTTTTTCTTCTCCTCGCTCCTCACCAGAGGGTGTTTTCCTATCACTTTAGAGAGTGGGAGAGAGGGAGGACGGTGGGGAGGGGAGAGAGAGAGAGAGAGACGTTGGTATGAGAGACGCTCCTCGATTGGCTGCCTCCTGCACACGCCCTGACTGTGGCCACGAACCAGACCTGCAGCCCAGGTATGTGCTTTTGACCTGGGAATTGAACCCTCGACCCTTCGGTGTGCTGGTCCATGCTCTAGCCAGTGAGCCACACTGCCCGGGGCCAAAACAATGTACATATTCTCTGTATTATAACAGACGCCCACTCTGCATCTTTGTACACATAACCAGTGTCTGAATGGGGTCAAGCACTTCACCAGAAGGCCCGTTCAAGCCGCGTGTGCCTGGCCGGCGGCACCACGCCCACGGAACCACGTGTGCCCCGGCCGAGCCCCGCGCGGGGCCCGATGGCTGAGCTGCTGTGCGTGTGCCCCGCGCAGGGCCGGATGGCTGAGCTGCTGTGCGTGTGCCCCGCGCGGGCCCAATGGCTGTGCTGCTGTGTGTGTGCCCCGCGCAGGCCCGATGGCTGAGCTGCTGTGCGTGTGCCCCGCGCAGGCCCGATGGCTGTGCTGCTGTGTGTTGGAAACAAGAAGTGACAGGCAGGCTAATGAATGCGGTTGCCATGGAGACCGCAGGCACGTGGCTGGCGTCTCACCTTGACAACCGTCTATGGCGGGCGGTTGGGTTGGAATGGAATTAGGAGACGAAGCCACAGAGCCCTCACTCCCGGCCTCAGTGTGTCCTCCTGGCGGCCAGCACGCCCGGCCACGCAGGCAGAGTGCACGTGGGTGAGGGTGCGTGGGCGAGGGGCCGTGGCAGGCGTGGGTGACACAGACACTGAACACAGCCATGAGTGAGCAGCCGGGCCAGGACCGCAGACGGGGGCGGGGGGCGGGGAGCCGTGCCCAGAACACGCAGACGGCGCCCTCCCGCCCTCACCACGCCCACACAGGCGTCTGGCAGGCCGGCCTGTCTTGGGGCAGGAATGGCCCCTGCAGGTCCCCGGGGCGAGGTGAGGACGGGGGGGGGGGGGAGGGGGGCAGGAGGGCACCGTAGGCAGACTCCGACTCCCTCCCGAGGGGGGACAGGTCTCAGCCTGGGGGGCAGCTGCCCGCTCCCCAGGCTCGTGCTGCAGGGCCGTCAGAGCGGGGCGTGGGGCTGGGGCCGCCCCCGGAACGGTCTTGGGGTGGAGACACGTGGCCCTGCAGCTGGGCTGCCCGCGGGACCCCGGGAGTTCAGAGACCGCAGAGGCGCCCACACGGTCCGGTTCCCCCTCAACACGCTGTCCTGCAGCCCGTGGCCTGGGCTCCACGGCCGCAGCCGGCTCAGCACAGGGAGGCGGCGGCCACATGCTGGGCCATAGCCGCCTGGCCTCCGCCGCCGAGCGCCTCGACGCCCAGCCCCGGCTTGGCCAC